AGTTTGGTTGCAAAATAAGGAAACATAAGTGAAAAATACAATCAGAATTATTGTTATAATGTGCATAAGCATTAGGTATCCAGGGATCAAGGACCAGAAGCTGGTCTTAATGAAGTAGTCTTCATGTTCATTTTTCAACAATGTTTCCAAAGAGGATAACAGAGCTCCCCATTTCTATTAATATAGTCCAAATTTGGTAGTTTCCTATCAACAGGATGATCATGATTACATCATTAAAAGGATTCTTTCTGTGAGGTAGGTCAACTTTTGTCAAGATAATTGGCTCGTGAATTAGAGCAACTGACCTGGCTAGATTGGCAGAGTTGACATCCCTAGTTCTTAATTGCTACAAGTTTGACATCGACAAGGCTTGAGATCCGTCTTCACCAAATCTAGTAGGTACAACCCTAAATGACATGCATTATTCTGATAAGGAATGGTTCATTGGAAGCAACTTCGATTGATGCTTGGACCTATCTTTGATTGTTAGCTTTTAGTGCCATAAACTCATTAAGCTTTCAAAGTCAAATCAACTCCTTGCTAAGATTTTAAAGTTGTTGATACTCCTTAGTATCAGTAAGATCAATACTTGTTGGGATAGTGCTGAAAACTTCAGTCTTTTTTCAATAAGGGTCTCTTGAAGAATTTCTTATCTTAAATGGCTTCCAAAACTATAGCCATCGATATTTGTAGTAGCTTCTATCATTGAGAAATGAAATAATATTTGCCTTCTTTTTGGTCTTTTCATGACCATCCTTCGATCAAATTTCTTCAGTTGCTGTTGTCAAAAATTTCTTCTAGGAGGCTCTAATGATATTTACAAATGAATTTCTTTCTTGAATCCCAATGTTCACAAATTAGTCTCCAGTTAGATTTAGCCTCTGACTCTCAGATTCCTAAAGAGATAGGTAAAGAGTTATACTCTTTGGCCAAAATATGGTTGTTGGACAATTCACAAAGTTCATTTAAAGTATTTGGTTTTTGCAAGCTAAGTGCACATATAAATGGAGCCTTGCATAAACCTTGGGCCAAATATGCATGAGAATTAATGGGCTTGATATCTCTAATGTCCATTGTCTCTCACTGAAATCAAGTGATAATTTCTTTTAAGCTTTTTGAGGGTCCTTGTTAAATCTTCAACAAAGCTGGAGAACTCTTTTGTCGCTTATGGGCACCAACAAACTAAGCTATGAATATTCACTTGAATTCATTGAAAAAGTTAGTAACTCACATTGGTAAGTTGTTGAACCAACACAAAGTCGATTCTTTCAGGGTCATAAGGAATAAATGCTATTTAAGGGCATCATCAAACTGCTACTTCCAAAAAAAGCAAAATGATCGTCGAGATCTATTATTTGTTTGTAAGAATCCAAGGAATTTTGAACCTTATGGGTGTTTTATCTTCAACAATTTCTCTTGAGAAGCGTACTCTATTGGCTTTCATCTTCTTTTTCTCTCTCTTACTTCATCATCTGATGTTTTTGAGATATCCTTTTTCATGACATATAACTCATCATCTTCTTTTTATTCTTCTAGCATTTGAGTCAGGGTTCTCCTTGGCTCTGTCCATGGTAGTCTTTCTCTCTGCGGCTGACGTCTTCATGATTTATGCCTCTATACTATTGATCCTGAAGATCTAATGTGGCTTCTATAATGATCTCCAGATTATATTCTTGAGGCCTCCAACCTCATTTCTTCTATTATCTTTTTCATCTGCTCTATTAACTTATTTTTTTTAACATGAAATCTCTAGTGCAATCCATCATTGCCCTTCTTTCTCTTTTAAATAAGAAATTTCCTTGCTAAATTAGAGTATGATTTCCATGCCAACCACATCTTTTATGACGTTTAATACCTTTAGGATGTTGGGTCCCGTATAATCCTTGAGTTTATACAGTCCGAGTGAGACATTGTGAGATGAGTAAGAGGTAAAGAGGAATGAAGTTCCCAGTTGTTCTATATTCCCCTTCGATGATGATCGTGCTCCTCCATTTCCTCTCGCTCTTATACTCCCTAAGGTGTCATTCTTCTTGTAGGGCTACTAAAAAAAGAATAAAGAAATATTACATTGTAGTTTGTACTGTACAAAGGCTATTTAGTTATTTATTTGAAAAAATATATTGCTATAGATGGCAGACAACACATAAATGTGCATGAATAGTGATAGGTTAAAGTATTTTTTCTCCTACCATGTCGATGACTTCAGAGGACTGGTAAATGACCTTGATGGCGAAGCTTGAGAAATGGAGAAGAGCTTAGTGAGCAGGCTTAAAGAGTATGTGAGAGCTAGAGGGAGGATCTTGATAGGTTTAGGCAAGGTCAGCGAAGGAGCTCTCCAGTTCACTAGATCTTTTTGAGAGATAGTTCTTGTGGTCATCACTTCAATGGATGAAGTCGCTAAGTATGATCACTCAAAGAAGTGCAGGCTTCAAGTTCATGATAAGAAGGCCCAATCAATGATCCAAGAGGCCTACTTTATCTACGAGCTTCCTTGATAGCTCCCAACCCCCCCTCCCCCCG